TCCATCACGCATTTTTTTTACAAAATCAAAATCGCCGTCCACTTGACCATCTAGGATCTTTTTGATGATAAATGGGTTCACGTTCAAAAGCGATTGATTTTCATTCAAGCATTTTACATTCGTAAACCTTGCATTCTCAGTGGGGATTTTGAAAAATGGTCGTCTCGTTTTATCATTAGTAGGGATTTCATTGTTCATAGTCAGATTGGTCTGAGAGTGGTCATGAATCGCCCCTCCTCCTTGAGGAGGAGAAGGGGTAGCTGGGGTATCAATCATGCTGGGTATTGGACCAGGTCGGACCCCTTGTCTCAAAATTGTAGTCCTGAAGGGATCAAAATAGCTAAGAGAGCAAAAGCAAGTTTTCCGTCCTCTACCCCCCCAGTGGTAGCCTGGTTGAGTTCTCCAGTACCACAAAGGGATCGAGTTATGTGTGGGACACTTCCTTACCGCCGAACTTGCCTAGGCAAAGGACGGTAATTCAATGCCCACCTCCCAAGCAAATACGGGAATTCACAAGGAACTCTGGTAGGCTCAGGAAAGTCACATTAGGAGGAAAAATTCAGAACCAGAGAAAAAGTGCGCCCAAATGACGCCCCAGACTACTGGGCCTCCCTACCCAGGGGTCAAAGCCACAAGGGCTACCCTAGCGTAGAAGAGAGCTGCGGGTCTGAGGTGGAGTGCCTCGTGTCACCTGCAAAAACAAAAGCACTGAAGGTGCTGGGAAAGCACTAGAAAGTGCGCAAGGATCTGTAATTACAGGTTTTACTTTATTTCATTTACTTTATCTAACTCAGAAGCTACAATGTCAAGCGAGACAAGAAGCCCCAGGCTCCAGGGTAGCTCTTGTGGCACAAGACTTTGTATTTGTTGCTGCTGCGCTTTCAACAAGGTGTTCGCTCATCAGAGTTTCGACCACGAGTGCACGAGTGCAGTAAGAATGATAACAATGTTAACCCATTCCCGCCGGGCATGCCATGCCATGGCCACTGTGAGATTACTTGTTAGATTGTTTTCACATATAGATGGCTACACTTGTACTAAATCACCAATGAGCCAGTTACGAGTACTGCCTGTCTCGCCCGTTCACCCTTTTCTTTGATTTACGAAATATTTTACGTTATCTTATTTTGCTATTACTAATGTTAAAAAACATTATAAAAATTATAATGTTTATGATAAAAATAACACCATTGATATTCATGGCACTAGTGAAAAATACGTTTTTTCCCGCCATTTCAAATCGGCGCTAACAGAACCATCTATGGGCAGACATTTAACAAAAAAGTATAGAAAATAGGCACAGCATTTTCCCCATTTTTTTTTTCATTTTCCCCGGCGGCAATGGGTTAATATTTGTAGTATTGGAAAGAAAAATGTATTTTCCGCCAATTCAAGAAATGGAGAAATCAGGATCGGTCACAAGGGCCAACTGATAGACTTATTGCTGAGCACACGTGGAGCCATCTGTATGTAACAACATTCACTAAAATCTAAAGGGGACAGTCAGGGATGGATTATTCTATAGGCTAGTATAGGCTGCAGCCTAGGGCCCCTCAAGCTTGGGGCCCCCAAGCTTAAAGGGCTTGGTTATAAAAAAATTGTTTTTTTTTTCACTACGGTTGTGTTGAAATATAGTAAAATAGTGGTATTTAAAGAATATTTTTTATTGACAAACAAAAGATAGCTATGTTAGTTTATTTAAAGAATTTGCAATAAGTTTACTTCAAACTATGTAAATGTTAAAATATATAACGAGTAAAAAGTATTCTGAGGAGGCCCCATTATTTCATTAGCCTAGGGGCCCCAAAGGGTCATAATCCGGCCCTGGGGACAGTAAATAAGCCCGCTGACATTGGGTTAAAACTATGTCGGAATATAAATCATTCTCTCTTGATACTAGGGGCATAATTTTTTATGTCTTACTTACAGGCCATGCATTTTCTCTTCTCCACGAATGTGTCTCAGATTCTTGAGGAAATTGAGAGAAAAAAGTGTATCTGAACCGTACACTCGAATGTAACCAGATACTTCCTCAATCTCTCCGAGATTTTCCTCAAGTTGCTGTGTGATGTTCACTGGGGAAGAGAGTACAATACAGTGTTGTACGTTTTTTTTTTTTTTTTTTTTTTTTTTTTTTTTTTTTTTTTTTTTTTTTTTAGTAGACGATTACTGGGATTGAAAAGTGTAATGATGGTGATGTGATATAACTTTTTCATGATTGTCATGATTCTCTGCCATACTTACAGCCTCCTGCAACTGAAATGTTGAGGCTTCCATTAACTTTCTTGCAACCACGAAGATTCCTGCCAGTGTTTCTGCTAGTTATTGTTTCTCCCTTACACGTCCTGCTGCAGTTACCTAGGCAGAGGTGAATAATAACAATAATAAGGATGACAGTAATGATAATTATAAAATGATAATAATATTAACAGTAGTAATATTTATAAATAATATTGACTAACGGGACCCATGGAAATTCTACTCCCCTCCTCCTACCCTTGGCTTCCCCTTTCCCTCTTTCTCTACCTTTCCCTTTTTCCGCCTTCCCACCCTCTCTCACTCTTAACGGGCGGTCACGCCTAATTCTGTCCAAGGATGTTACAACTGCACTGTAGAATTAAGTGATATATGTTATAACTAACAATGATGCCTCATTTAAATTCTAAAGATCATCCAGACAAAAGTTTAAATCAAATGAAAAGACATACCCACTACGACACGCTGAAGACACAGAGCTCACTCCAGGCATCATTTACGCTCTAGTGAATAGAGTGAGAACAGGAGAACAATGATACCATGATAGAAGAAAAGTAAAAACAACAATGGATGAAATCAACAAGAAAATTTGCTTTGCAGGGCGTATAATCGCACGGCTGGTAAAACTGTGTCACGATCGACGATTGATGATATTTTACTCAGTTTTCGATAGTATCTGCTTACACCCAACTTAAGTTTTTATCAATCCATGTCTCCCATACAGTACTGATCATATAAATACCGGTATATGTTATTGGAAAGAATATGGTCATATTTTCTAGTTCTATTAAAATATGAGGTATCCAGGTAAATGCAAACATTGGAAAGAAGCCATTCAAAAAAATAATAATAATAATAAATAAAAAGAGAAAAAGCAAAAAAAGAAAAAGACCCAACTACCTTATAACACAGTTGTCAACAAATCAGCCCAAGAGACCAAATCTCCCCAATAAAATAGAAATTTCCAATGACATCACGTACACGGTCCGTGTAATTCTTATTCATGCACACCTCGCCAACTTAGGGAGACCTGGGACCAGGGCAGGATTATCATATAGGCTAGTATAGGCTGCAGCCTAGGGCCCCTCAAGCTTGGGGGTCCCAAGCTTGTGGATTTTTTTCACTACGGTTGTGTTGAAATATAGTTAAATAGTGGTATTTAAAGAATATTTTTATTGACAAACAAAATATAGCTATGCCAGTTTATTTAAAGAATTTGCAATAAGTTTACTTCTGAGGGGGCCCCATAATTTCATTAGCCTAGAGGCCCCAAAAGGTCATAATCCGACCCTGCCTGTGACCTATGCAGAAGAGGTCAAGAGAGGCCTCAGAGGAGGATTCGGCACCCATATTCAGTTACTCCATGTCGAATAACCTCTTCACCAAAACAATGCCAGCCAACACTACCATGGAAGCAGAGACAGCCGATCCAACAGAGGAAACAGCGCCTCAGCCTACCCCCTACCATGCAAGACGTACTCAAACACGACTTGACTTATCTCCACAAAGACCACGACAAGCCAGTCTTCTTGCGTACCCTCTTTCTTTCTCTTTCTCCCTGCCTCCCTCCTTCCCTCTATCCCTTCCTCCCTCCTTCCTTCTCTCTCCCTACATTAGAGTTTCCTAGTCATACTTTTACGATTTTACGAAATGTGTTGATTTGATAAACTATATCTCATTATATTATATATATGAGTGTATTCCTTCATGTACATTTTATGTAAATATGTCTATATGACCCTTTATAAACTAAACTATAACTATCATTATCAATATTATCATTGTTATTCCTATCTCCTTCCCTCCCTGCCTCCCTTAACCTCTCCCTCCTAGCTTTTCTTCTTTCCCATCTTCCTCCCTCCCTCCCACTCTTCCTCCATCCCACCTCTCTCCCTCCATCTCTTTTTTCTATCTCCCTCCCTCTTTCCCTCCCTCCCTCCCTCCCTCCCTCCCTCTTTCCCTCCTTCCCTCTATCCCTACTTTCCTCCCTCCTCTCTCTCTCTCTCTCTCTCTCTCTCTCTCTCTCTCTCTCTCTCTCTCTCTCTCTCTCTCTCTCTCTCTCTCTATCTCTATCTCTCTCTCTATCTCTCTCTTTCTCTCTTTCTCTCTTTCGCTTGCGATAATAACCCAAGCTATTATCAATGGCATGTTGATGACAATGTCCTTGTTCATGTAAGAATACAACATGATCTTCAATTAGACTGCTAATAGGAAGCTAATGTACAGGTTGCTAAATTACTCTTTTCTCGCAGCATAAATATATGTCGTAGATGTTATGGAGGATTCAGAGAGAGTAGTGAACGTAAAAAAAAATATTTGAACCACTGATCCAGCGATTTGAGTGCGCCAGGCATCGAAAACTGAGTCCTTTTGTATTGTCAAAGCGGGGCTGAAAATTAAATTCTTCTAATAAACCTGGTTGCATTTTTTTTTTTTTTTTTTAGCAGATCAAAGACAACATACCATCACAGTGTATACAAACAGGCGCTGAAATGCCCGAGTCTGGCAGCTTCATAACTCTGACGATTCCGGACATCGCTTCACAAGTGCTGGCCGCCACACATTTGTAGCGTAGATCCTGGTGATGAGCAGAAATATTATAGGTATAATGCATAATATAGATTCCTTATTGAGTACGCAATAACATTTGTTATTTGTTTACTTTTTTTTTCTAATTTACTTTCTTCCTCTATGAATAATCATCATCATCACCATCAATACCAACATCAACATCAACATCAACATCAACATCAACATCAATATCAATATCAACATCAACATCAACATCAACATCAACATCAATATCATCATCATCACCATCATTATTATCATCATTATTATCAATATTATTATTATTATTATGATTATTATTACTATTATTACTATTTTAATTTGAATTATTATTGTTATTATTATCATCAATCATTACTATTATTATTATTATCATCATCATCATCATCACCATCATCATCATCATCATCATCATCATCATCATTATCATCATCAATATTATCATTATTATTATTATTATTATTATTATTATTATTATTATTATTATTGTTATTATCATTATCATCGTTATTATTATTTATTATTATTATTATTATTATTATTATTATTATTATTATTATTATTACTATCATAACTGTTACTATTATTACTACAATTGTTATTATCATTATCATTGTCATTATCATTATCATTATTATTATTATTATTATTACTATCATAACTGTTACTATTATTACTACAATTGTTATTATCATTATCATTGTCATTATCATTATCATTATTATTATCATTATCATTATTGTTAATATCATTATCATTAATGTGGTTGTTATTACTACTATCATTAATATTATTACCATTGCTATTATTATCAGTATTGTTACTATTATTTTCATTGTCATTATCATCTCCTGATTATCATATTTATTATCATTATTATCATGGTGTTGTCATTACTCTTACTATGATTATTTGTTACAACAGGTATCATTATTACCATTAGTTACGTCATTATTTTCATGTTATCATTATTATTATTATCATTGTTATTATTGCCATTTTTATCATCATCAATATTGTAAGGTGACATCCTAGTCCTCCTCATCTCGGGCTATCGAGAGCATCCCCTCGCCACTCGTTTCCCGTCGTTCGGCTGCGCCCGGATCCCGCTTGCTCGCTCCTTTTCATTTGGCCTTTTATTTTGGTCTATTTTTTGTGTGTTTTAGTGAAGTTACCCTTTTTATAGCCGTTTTCTTTTCTTCTTTTTTTTTCTTTTTGCTCGATTTTACAGTCTTTGCATTTATTTATTTCTTGAGGCACGAAAGTCAGTTTTTACTTGATTTTCTGTGTATTTTGGATTAATTATTATTTTATTTCATTTACATTACATCGAATCTGACGAATATTTTATACTCGTCATCTTTTAGCTTTATCTTTTTATTCGGTGTTTTTAGTTTCATTTTAACTTGTGGCTATTTTTTTATTCTTTTCTTTTTACCCTGTAAATACAGGTGTTTTATTCTGTAAGGTAAAATTTACACTTTTATAAATGTGAAAGATGTATAGTTCGTGACGTATTTCATGACGTCACGAACACTGTAAATAACGCCAAAAACGGCGCGAAATACATTCAGTTGAGACCAGATACCCCTGTGTGTCATTACCCCTGTGTGAGCGGGAAAGCTGTGAAGCGGCCACGCCCCCCGAAACCGAGAGAGTTAAGTCTGTGTACTGACGTTGTTTTTATTTTCTGAGGAGCTGGACGTGATCCTTTGTTTTTATTACTTGTTTCATATTTCTTTTAATCAGTTTAATCATAATTACTTAATCTATTTCATTAATATTCTCGAGATGCACTTAAGCCTGTTACCTTGCCTTTCCCATACGTAAACACTGAATAATTTCTAGTTTCTTTAAAAAGGCTGAACGTTAAGGAGTCGATGATTATGCTCGGTCTCTTTTTTTTTTCTTTTTGTTTGCTTGTTTGTGTCTAGATGTTCCACGCTACCACAACACATCTAGACACTGTGAACCCACATTTAAAATATATATCAATAGCCACAGAGCGAAAGAACACCTCACAATATCACTATCATTATCATTATCTTCATTAATTTCATTACAATCATTATCATTATTACTATATTTTTGTTATTATTATAGTAGTAGTAATTCAAATAATAATTATAATAATGGTGATTATTGTCTTATTACCATCACCATTGTTATATGTCTATGATTATCATCAATATATTTTTTTTCATTACATTTCATCAATATCATTACAATGATAATCAGTATCACTAGTAATATCATTATCACTGTTACTGGTATCTCATCTTAGTAATATAATTATTATCCTTATTATCATTATCATCAATATTATTATTCTCGTTATTGTTATTTTTATTATAATCATCATCATCATTATCATTTTTATGATTATTATTATTATTGCTACCACTTATATCATTGCCATGATTATCATTATTATCATTATCTTTGTCATTATTATCATTATTATCACTATCATTGTTCTTATTATTATCATCTTTATTATTATATCAGTATCATGATTATCATTACTGTGACTTTTAGTACTAATATCATTATAATCATCATCATCCTTACTAACATTATTCTCTCATTATCATTACTGTTATCATTATTGTTATCGTTATCATTACTACTATCATTATCATTATCATTACTATTAATTTATTATCATTATTATTATCATTATCATTGTTTCTATTATTATTATATTATTATCATTATTATTATTATTATTATTATTATTATTATTATTATTATTATCATTATTATTATTATTATTATGATTATTATCATCATTATTATTATTATCATTGTTACTACTACTACTGCTACTATTAACCTCATTATTATCACCACCACCAGCATCAATATTGTTACTACTACTACTATTATTATTGTTATTATCATTCTTCTTATTATTGTTGTTGTTATTGACATTGTTATCATTATCATCATTAAGATTTTTATCATCATCATTGTTATTTTTTACCATTATCATTACCAGTTTGCTATAATAACTGATACTGCCATGCCTATCACAATCATCATTAGCATCATTATTCTTTAAATTGTTGTTTTTGTTACTACACTCATTATTGCTGGTTTTGCTGTTGTAGCTACCACTATCATCATTGCCATTAACATCATCATTATCATTATTATAATAATGTAACTGACAGTAACATTATTATTGTTATCATTATCATTATTATCTTTATTTGTTTTATTATTATCATTATCATTATTAATATTAATATTCTTTTTATCATTGTTTGAATTATTATAATAATTATTATTATTATTATTATTATCATTATCATTATTATTACTATTATTATTATTATCATTACTATCATTATTATTATTATCATTATTATTATCATTATTATTATTATTATTATTATTATCATTAATATTATTACTATTACTACTATCATCATCATTACTATTATTCTCATTATTGTTATTACTAATGTTGTTGTTAATGTTGTTGTTGTTGCTATTATTATCATCATCACCATCATTATCACTAACATTTTTCTCAGCATTATTATTATCACTACTATCAACATTATCATCATCGTTATTATTATTATCATATGATCATCATACTTAATAGTGGTAGTAGCAGCATCACCTTCATCATCATTATCAGTATTTTAATCATTCATATTATTTTAATTACAACCATGCTTATCATTGTTATAATTCATCAGCATTATAATTATTATTCTCATCATTATCATCAATATTGCTATTGCTAATATTGTCATTATCATGATCACTATAATTATTATCATCTTTATTACTATGGCTATTATCATTATCCTCATTTAATTATCCTTATTATTATTTGTCCTTATAACTGTTTTCATTATTATTGTTATTTGCATTAGTATTATTATTATTATCATATTATTTCTTTCCATTTTTAAAGCGTTCAAAAAAGCTTTAGATAGAATCGATGTAATTGATATTGATCTGATTATCATTGTTTCCATTATTATTTATTATTGATATAATTATTACTATCATTATTATTATTACTATTATTATTATTGATATCAGTTATTATTATTATCATCATCGTCATCACGATTATAATTATCATTATCATCCTTATCATTATCATTATTATTATCTTTACGAATATGATTCTTTTCATTACCATTATTGTTTTATCATCATTATTATTATTATCGTTATTATTATTATCATTATTATTATTAACATTATTATTATTACCACAATACCATGCTTTTATCAAAACAGTGTCATTGTAGGATGTACTACTAAAATAACAATTTTATAATCAGAACATTTTATGAATATTAATATGAATATATAGGAAGGCAATGAAGGCACCATTATCAGTATCATCTATCATTATCATTATCGTCATTATTCTTATCATTATCATTATCCTCATTATTCTTATCATTATCATTATCCTCATTATTCTTATCATCATCATCCTTTCCATCCCCTTCATTGGCATCATTATCAATATTCTCATTATTTTCATAATCACTGTTACAAAGAATGTGATGACAAAGATGACCATTATCATTACTATCATTTTATTATTAGGATTATCATTGTCATAATCATCATTGCATTGTCATTTACGCCATCGTTAAAGCAACATCATCATAGCATTTTTAATATAATCATAAGAATAAAACTTGTACCCTTCTAACTTACGTGCACGTTTCGGGGCGATTTAGCAGGACAGGCACGGACACAAGTGGACCCATGCTGATAGTGCTTGCATGCCACACAAGCAGACGCGTTGCCGGGAATGAAACAACCTCCTACGCACTCTAGATGGCACTGATCACCTGTGTTGGAAAATTGTTTAAAAGAATAAGAGCATTGTGTTTTCCTTTTTTCCATATTATTTTCATTATTATTTAGCTAATATAAGATCGAAAAAGATAAGGCATTCAAGATAAGGATAATTCTACATATTATTATTTAATATGTATTAATTTACATGCTATTATAAAGCATAATTTTCTATATTTCTCTATATTAAAATCAATGTGAAAGTCCTAATTAACAAGATAAATCTATTCACTACGTTATACTAGCATAGAAAAAGTAATTACTTAGGTAATACTATCAAACAGTCATTTTGATTATATTTCATTACCTATTACTTAAGTATTTTCCC